CACACCGACCTGGTGCTCATGGGGGCAGGGCAGACGCTGCTGAAGCCACAGCACACCCCAGATTTCTTAGCTTAGCTCTGAGGCTTCCTGACACAAAAGCCAGCCAGTTTCTCCTTGACACGTTTAGTTAGGTGCCTACGTGGTGTTAAATTTCACATGAAAGCAACCTCTCCTCTGTCTCTTTGCTCCCGCCAACTTCACATAGGTGGATTATTGGCTATTTTCTTTCAACCTCTCGCCACCCCATGCCAGGGGAGCCTCACTGGTTTTGAGCCTCCGCCTGCACCAGCCTTTGCTGGGGGCCTGGGAGCCACACATGTTATGAACACACATCTTAAAATAATGCAACACATTGAAAAACAAGGACTTAAAACAAGCTCAGAGGATGTCCTTGCCGGGGAAGGTCCCACCTCTCCATCACCTATCATTATCATTATAAATGAATGCTTTCTTCATGAGCTTGACAGTCTGCAATTGCCTGAGCAACGCTTCTGAGTCCAGGTCTGCGCCAGCGCAGTGGGTGGAAATCCAAGGGGGCCTTGAAATGACCACGCCACTGTCGCAAAGACAGAATGAGCAGGGGGTGCTCTGCGCTGCCCGCGCCTCCCCTGGGGAGAGTTCAGACAGCACACAGAAGACCCCTCATTCTTCCATTCAGTTCTATGGGCGTTCGCTGCCTTCCTACACTTCGGGGGGGCAGGTGCGGTTCAAATCAGGAAGGCTTTTAGGGAGGAGGCAGCTGCCTCCAGAACCCACCCTTGGTTTCTGATGCTGTTGGAAGGAGCAGTGGCTCTCAGGGGATTCCCTTTTCTTAAAGTCCAGAGCTAGTCTGGCCGACTCCCGAGAATCTTTGGGGAAAGTGCACACCTTTCCCGCTGGAATTGAAGCTGCTGCTCAGGGCCGGCCAGCACATGGAAGGGGAAGGCCGGCTCAGTGGGAGAGCTCAGGGGCCCGCTCTGGTGCCTGGCTGGATCTTGCCCCCAGAGTCCTCTTGGGAAAAGACATTTTGCTCCCACGTATTTCTTCATAAAGCTGAGGCCCTGCATCTTGGAGGACGGTTCCCCTGTCACCTACAATTAAGTCTCCCCTCCCCTCCTCCCCCTGGCCTCTCCCCGTCTGCCCCCTCTTCCCCTCGCTTTGCCCTCCCCTCCCCCACCTCGCCTTCCCTCTGCCCCACTGTTTCAAGTCCCTTCCAGCTGGGACTCCGCCAGGGGTAAATCAAAGGGTCTGGGGCTCCGCTTCCTGGGCCTGGCTGCCCTCCACGGCGTAGCCTCGGGAAGGGGCTTTCCGGCTCCTCCCTTTTGGTGGCTCCAGTGGGGAAATATTCCCAAACCAGCATCACCTCCATGGAGGTGACAGTATGAAAGGGAAGTGACTTTCCCAAGAGCAAGGATTTCCCTAGAGGGACCCCAAGAAGCTGACAAGAAGGTGGCAGGGGTGAGGAGGTGGTGGGAGCCCCTGCCTCAGTCACACCAGCTGGAGGGTTCCAGGGTAGCTCCCAGCTTCCTCTCTGCTGTTAACTGTTGCTCTGCCCCTCCCCCCCTCCCCGCCCCCCACCCCCGCCCGCCCTTCCCCTCCATCTCCTTGCTGGAGGCCCGGAAGCAAGGCCTGAACCCAGTGAGAGGCCACTGTGGGGGTGCCAGGGTCTTGGGGAAACTGTGGGTCAGCAAGACGTCTATGGGATGGGGGTGGGGTTCAATTTCCCTGAATCAGCCATTCCTCCGACGGGCCCGGCTGCCCATCTACCAGGAAACCTCGTGGTCTTTTCACGGGGAGGGGATGGGACAGGGTGGGGCCTGCCGCTTCTCTGCTTTCTGCTGTTCCCTTTACGGGGGCTGGGGGTGAGACAGAGGGAGGAAGAGAGGCCGAGAGAGTATTCTAGATGGAGAGAGTGAGGGAGACAGGGGGAGGAGAGAGAGGGGAGCAGAGTGGAGCTGGGGGGAGACCGGAGACCGTGAGGGGCTGAGAGACAGAGACCGGGCTGGGGCGAGTGGGAGGCCGGGCTGTCTCGTCCGCAGCAGGCGCGCCCGGGGAAACGCAGGTGGCGTGTGTCGCATGCATAATCTCAGGAGACGGCCACTTTAAATCTTAATTGGTTGCCTTTTAAATATCATTTAAGGGCTGGCTTCTCTGCCTCTCTCTAGTTAAGAAGGTGTCGTGTCAAACTCTATTACCTTGCTGGACGTCTCTCCCTTAAGTTAAAAAAAAAAAAAAAAAAAAAAGGAAGAAAACAGAAAAAAAAAAAATGGAATCATCAGCCGAGGTTTGAGAGGTCGATAAAGCTTTTAGATTTGGAGACGTTTTCCGGGAGCGCATTTCCTGCGGCTAAGAGTTGTTAATGGAGCTTAAGGAATTATCTTAGGCCGGGCGGCCGGGAGAGCCGTATATTTCCCGCGCCTGTTCCCTTGTCGAGCTTGAATATGCTGCTGTCAGACTCGCTTAATGAAAAGTAACGCACCGCTGATTACAGTTTTATTTGGGCTCTATGTAAAGAGCGCCGTTAATTTAGCATCTCCTCCTCGGTGTGTTTGAATTCGCCACGCCTGAATAACTGAGCGCGCCGGCCCTGCCAGCCTCCCGGCGCCTTCCCAGCCCTGCTCTGACAATCTCCCTGCGCGCCCAGTCGCCCGCCCCGACCCTTCCCTGTCACGCCCCCGCCCCACTGACAGCGACCTTCCCAGCGCGTCCACTCAGACGCCTAAAATTCGCCCCCTCCGTGTCACCTCTTTGCAGACACCCCCCCCCTCCGACTTTGGGACTGTCCTCCTAGCTGACACCTCCCCACCCCACAAGATCAGCCAGAGGGTGTCTGGGGGTGCCTAAGGCAAACCTGCTGGACTGAGCCCCAAGGGAAGGGTGTGGGGGAAGCGCCCCGCTCCAGCGTGTCCCCTTGGAAGGGGGCTGAATCCGCCTCGCCACCTGTGTCTTTCACACAATCTCCCAGTTTATTCAAATAAACCAGTTGTGTCAGTCAGTTCCACCCAGATCCGGGGGCTCCTGCGAGATGGAATTCCGATGGCCGGGACCATGGAGAGGGGCTGGGGTCCCGAGGGCAGCGAGCGTGGGTGGTGGCCGGAGCCCTGGGTCCTCCCCAGGAGAGAGGCCAGCGCCCAGACCAAGCCTGACCCGCCAACCTGCGCCACCCATGCCTGCCCAGGGCCTGCAGAGACCCGCCGGGCTGCCCGCAGCCTGGAGTGTAAGGCCGGGGTCCAAGCCTCGGTTTTCAGCCTCCCTAGCCCCTCTCCCGCCTATCTGAGACGAAAGCCGAAACCTTGATTTTGCAGAAAATGGCCTGGCTTTGTCTAGGGCTGGGATAAGGGGCGCCTGGGCAGCCGCCCTCGGCCACATTAAAATTCCTGGCGCCCCAGCCTCGAGCCTCAACGCTCTCCCCCGAGACTCCACTTTCGCTATTACTGTCAAGTACCCTTGACTCTTTATTTTTGCCCTTTTATCTATTACAACTAATTCGAGTTCTTTTGCCCTTTTCAGTCTAAGACGTGGGCTTTCTGCAAAGCCTCCCCCTGCCAGCGAGCTCTCGGAGCGCGGAGCCTTTAGAAATTGAGGGGTTTACTGTCAAAATGAAAATTTCACTTCAAATTATCTTGGCTGATGCTCGCGCGCCAGGCCGGGGGCTCCCGCCGCAGCCTTTTGACAGGCACATCAGCCGCGAGCTTCCGAACCTCGATAATATCATCTTGAGCGCGAAAGTCAATACGGTGACAGCGCGCGGCCGGATACAATCCAATTACGCGCGGCTGCCCAGGCGGGCCTGGGGCTCGGCGGCGGCCCGGGCCGCTCGGGATCTGGCGGCCGAGGTTCTGCCTCAGGGCCACGTCCGGGCCCCGCCGCCAGGGTTTAGGGAGGGCCCCACCATGCGGGGAACCCTGGTGGACCCGGGGTCCCGGTTCCTCTCCCTCGGAGACGAGAACTCTCCCCAGCGCTCCGGTGAGGCCCCTCGGGCCGGCTTTCCAGGGCTCCGGCCCTTTCCCGGGGCTAGGACCCCACGACGACGCAGTCCGGGCCGCCCCGGCTCCCAGAGGAAAGCCCGGCCTGGAGAGTCCCTTGAAGGCCGCCCGCCCGCCCGCCTCCCGCAAGACAATCCCGCGTCCCCGTCTGGAGTCTCGCGGCTGTCCGGGGTCCTAGGCCAGAGTCTCCTAGGCCGAGGAGGCCACCGCCTCCTCGCCGCGTCCCCGGACCGCCCTCCGGGTCCTTGGGACACTTCGGCCTTTGATGAGCCCAGCAGGGTTTCAGGCGGAGGCCTCGGGGGCGGGAGGGGAGGCCTCGGCCGGCCGGGCGCCCGCGGGGGACGCGGACCTGGCGCCGCCGCGGAGATGGGGAGGGGAGCCGGGTTTCCGAGCGCAGCCGCCGTCCGGCCCGGCCCGGCCCCTCGGCCCCCAATTGCTTCGCGGGCCCCTTTCGAAAGCCCTTTCCGCCCTGCCCCAAGGCTCCGCCTCCCAGTCCCGCCTCGGATTTGAGGCCTACGAAGCTCTAAGCGTTTCCCTTCGCGGAGCCGCGGCTCTCTGAGCAGAGCTGATTGCAAAGTGGCGGGTCCCGGGAGGGAGGAGAGGTGAGGTTGGGGCGGCCCAGGTGGCGGAGGCGTCGAAACCGCCCTGGCTCCCGCCTTGGATGGGCGGAGGCTGCTAACAGAGAAAAGCAAAGGCGGCCTCCCACGCCCACCCTTCACCCCGGGATAAGGCTCTGGGAATTTAGAAGTTTAAAATCTAATCAAAGAAATCCCTGTTTTTCAAACTTCTGGAGTTCGGTGATGCAAGTTTGAGTTTGGGTCTCACGCCCACTTCTATTAGGGAGTTCAACGGAAGCCTCAAACTCGACAGTAAGGGTTCTTCTACAAGTGGCTTCAAGTCTTGAGTCGACCCAGCGGCTTTTTGGGAGTGGAGTCTGGGTCAGTTCCTGCTCCCCACTCCTTCCCTACTCCCTGGGGAATTCTCAAATCACCTGGTTTTAAATGTGTTCATTTTGCAATACAAACACCATCACTCGGTTTTATTGGTTTTATCAGCCTCTGAAGCAGTGTGAACATACATTTTAAAAAACATAATATTATGGAGTCAAGAGTGTGCAAGAGTCAGGTCAGTGCAAGTGCTGTTGGTGGGTTATGTGCTGAGGATGAAATCGGAGGCCAGGAGGCTTCACAACCAACACCGCGTGCCTCAGCCGGAGGACAGCTGACCGCGCTTCAGAACGGAACCGCCTTCTCATGTAAACTTTTTACGTAAACTTTATGCTCAGGGTGGCCTCTTCTGCCCCAGAGCCTCTCCTTCCGCGTCGTTTGGGAATGGCCTGGGACTGTTTGGGAATGGCCTGGGACTCAAGCCCAGGTGGTGGAGGCCCCTGCGTGGCAGCGCCGGGGCTTGTCCATGTTCCCAGGGGTCCGAGTTCAGAAGAGTCTTCCTCTGGAAACTCAGGAAAAAAAGTTGGCGCTGTCCGCTTGAACGCGGGTTCCCTCCTGGGCTCAGGCCTGCCCGCTTCAGGCGAAGGGTTTACCGCCAGCCTTGGGCAGGGCGAGCAGCTCCCTGGCGGCGCCCGCAGCATGGGCGTCCTGGGGCGCGGCAGGCGGAAAGGCGCGGGCCAGGGGTGCCGTCAGCACGTTCGCGCCTGCCCCCAGCGATCGTCCCAGAGGCCCGGGGTCCAGGAGGGCGCCCTTGGCGGTGGCCCAGGCCTGGTTCAAAGTGCTGTGCCTGAGGATAGGGTCGTGGAAGACCCCGTCCACCCAGTTTCTGAGGCTGGTTACCGGGGAGTCTTGGTGCCTGTCCAGGGCACCAGAGGGGACAGGGGCCACAGACGGGGACGTGGCAGGCGCGGAGGACGCAGCCGCAGGGGCCGCGGGGCCTTGGCGCTTGAGCATGCACGATGGAAACTCAGTCTGGCTTAGGGCGCTGGCGGCAGCGGCTGTGGCGGTGTGCGCCAGGGACCATATGCGCGGCTTGGCCTCGAGGCCCGCGGCCCCCGCCGGTACAAACCCCAGCTTGGTCTCGCAGGCCTGAGGGCCGCCCTCTGTGCTCGACAGTGGCTCCGGCCCGGCCGCCGCGCTGCGAAGACAGCTGCGGGCCCTCTCCAGGTCCTCGTCCAGAGCAGCTCCGCCACCCGCGGCCAGAGGCATCCGGAGAGCGCCCGAGGCCTCCTTGCCCGGGCCCTCAGGGGCGGCGGGGACACGCTCCAGGCCGCCGTCCAGGGACTGGAAGGGCGGCTTCAGCTCGCACCCCGGGGGCTCCGCTTCCAGCGGGTCGAAGTCTTCCAGGTCACTAAGCTCCAGCTCCTTCTCCTCTTTGCCCATGGGCTCTGCGGGAGAGAACGCGTGGCCAGTGGAGGGAGAGGGGTGGAGGGTGAATCAGACCCCCTGTCCCCGCCCACCATCGTGGTCCTGACTCCAGGAAAAGCAGTCGGGACCTTTCTTCTCGTCTCCCATTTCCTCCAGAGGCCACCAGGTCACAGAGTGGCAACACAGGAGGCCTCCAACGGGGGACGGGGTGTCTAATATTTTTAAACGTAATTTGAGTTTCTTTAAATGCTCAGGGGTGACCACCACGGTCTCCACATTCATAACCTGAGGCAGAACCGGTTTGCACAGTGACCGCCTAGGCACGAGGCTCAGCGTTCGGGACCCCCAAGACGCCCTAGAACCGCAGAGAAGGCAAAGGAAGGCTCCAGCCTGCACCCCAGAGCCTCAGCTCCCAGCGACAACCCCCCAACCCACCTGCGTTCTTGGAGCTCTTGAGGGGCTCCTCCCGCGTCTCCTCCTCGGCCCCCTCCTCCTCCTCGCCCTCCGCGAAGGGCCGCTTCTCATCTGCGCACTTGTTCCGCGGCGGCCACGTCATCTTGTTCTCCTTCTTGAGGCGCCGGCGCGCGTTGGCGAACCAGGTGGAGACCTGCGTGAGGGTCATCTTGGTGATGATGGCCAGCATGATCTTCTCGCCCTTGGTGGGGTAGGGGTTCTTGCGGTGCTCCTGCAGCCAGGCCTTGAGCGTGCTGGTGGTCTCGCGCGTGGCGTTCTTGCGCCGCGTGCCGCTGTCCATGGTGCCGTACCTGGAGACAGGCTCTGCAATGGGCGCCGGCCGGGCCCTTTGGGCCCAAGGCATCGTGGGCGACGGGGTGGGGGTCGGCCAGGGGCATGCAAGGACGGGGTTTGCTTTCCCGTCGTGAGGTTGTGGTCATGGTCATAAGGCCCGGTAGGACCCAAGTCCCAACCAGGTGCTGCTGCCTGCTGGCACTTGTCTTCTGTGGCCCATGGGCAAACATATTTGACTGAAATTACAGGGAGTCTGAGCTCCTTCCCAAGCCAGAGAGGTCCAGGCCAATTATTTTATGAGGATGGCCACCTACCCCTTTGATCCCCAAACCATAAAAAGGTATTAGACATGCGAGCCCACGCCCTGATAGCTTAACACCTGTGGCCAAGAAGAATCATTATTTTCCATGAGAAGAAAGTGCCCAGGGGGCCTAAGTGGACTTTCTTTGGCTAAATCTGTAATGGTTGCACCGAGGAAGGTGGGGCGTGCTGTCCAAAAGTGGGCCAGCAGGGCCACCAGGGGTTCCCCCTGTAGGGACAGAGTGGACACTCGGAGGGAGGTGCCCAGAGTGGACACAGCCGCTGCCCGTGAACTGGCCTTCCAGATTCCACTTCCCTGAAAGCTGTCTGCCAGGCATCGAGGACTTCTGGGGTCCAACAACGTGGGGGGTGGGGGAGACTGGGGAGCATTTTAACCCGCGGCTGTGCAGGAGCAGGGTCGCCAGAAGGCTGGACCCGACAGACCGGAGTCAGGTCAGCCTGACCCAGAAGCGTCTCTCTTCCGGCCTCCGGCCTTCCAGAAAGGTGATGGTGGAGGGGTGGTGGTGGCCGGCAGTGCAGAGCGCACGGGCCGGCGCTGGTTAGGAGGGGCGGGATCCTCACCTGTCATAGGGGTACTGGCCCAGAGCCGGCTCGTAAGGGTAGTACGCGGCAGCGGCTGGCGCCAGGCCCGCATGCGCAGATCCCGTCCCGTCCTTGGAGTCAAAGCTGTTCTGTAGGAGCCAGGAGTCTGGGGTCGCAGCTTCCGGGGAGGCGACCCCACTCCAGCCTCTCTCCTAGGAGCCCCCTACTCCAAAGGCTTCGCCCGGATTCCTGGGCAGCCCTGCACCCGGCAGCGAAGGAGCTGATTTCCCCGCCCGCTTTTGAACCTGGTCTTCCAGACGGGAAGTGAGGTTGTTCCGAGTTGGGGAAGCAGTGTCGGGGGAGGGGAGCGGGGACATGGAGGAGGAGGAAGGTGGAAAGAAGTGAGAAAGAACTGGGGGCCGGCATCAGGGGGCACCTGGGAGAAGGAGCGGGGATGGGAAGGGCTGGGGACCTCTGGTGAAGTACTCGAGGCGGGAGGGGGGGGGGAGAAAGGGGAGGGACGCTGAGCGAGGGGATGGAGGCCGGGAGGGGTGAAAGGAGGAGAGAAATGGGGAGGAGCAAGAGGTGGGGGAGGAGCCAGACGGGGGGAGGACCCAGGAGGGGGAGGAACCAGGAGTGGAGGGTGGAAGCAGGGGAGAGGGAGGAAGAGGGAGATAGGAGGGTGGAGTCCGAGAGGGGCTAGAAGAGCACGAAGAGGGAGGCCTGGAGCTGAAGGAGGCCGGGAGAGAGGAGTGAAGTCGGGGAATGAGAGGAAAGTCCAGCAGGAGGGAAGAAGGGGGGAGCACAGGCAGACTCAATCTGCAAGCTGATGAGGATTTAGTCGGGTACCAAAACCGAGAAACACAGCGGCCACCTGCCGGTCACCCTGACGCAGGGGATGGGGATGGGGTTCCGAGGGACCTGGCTGGGAGGCACAAAGTTGAAGGGAGCCGAGGTGAGCGCCTCCCCCCTTCGACAGTCCGGGACCCGGAGGACTGGTGAGCCTTCTGGGGGAAAAGTGGGCTTGGCAAATCGAGGGACAGGGGCAGGGCAGAGGCTAGAGATGCCCCCCTTACCAGCGAGTAGAAGGCGGACGCCTCTGAGCCGTAGGTCACATAGTTGCCATAGCCCTGCGATCCGCCGTAGGGACCCCCGTAGACACCCAGGGCCGCGGCCGAGTTGAGCTCGTGGCGCGCGGTGGCCAGCAGCCGGCTCTCATAGACCGGGCAGTAGACGGGCGCCTGGGCCGAGGCGGCGGGCCCGGATTCCGCCAGCGTGCGGCCGCCCGACTCGCAGCACGTGCTCAGAGAGTTGGTGGCCATCAAGAACTGCAGAGAGAGGCCGCGAGGAAGGGCGGGAACCCCCGCGCGAGGCTGGGGCCCTGGTCCCTGCCAATCCCGTGCGCCGTACACGAGGGCGTGTCCCGAGTCCCCGGGGGCCTCCCGCAGTCCACGCCAGGCCGCTCTCCCTTTCCGCGAGCTCGCAAGCGCCCTGGCCTCCCTCGACACGTGGGGCCCAGTCGGGCACCGACACCCTCTCCGGGGGGTTTTCCAAGGCCTCTGACGCTATTTGCGCGCCAAGCCGCCTTCCCCAATATCTCCTTCGGTTTCTTGGACTCACGTGGGGCACAGCCTGAGCCCTGTGAGTCAAACATCAGGAAACCAGGCCCGGCCGCTGGATTTTCTCAGCGCTTGGGATTCCCCCAAGGGCTTGGCGCCCACGGGTTGGGCGTGAGGGGCGGGTGACCCACGCCCTACTATCTGGGAAGCCACAGGCCCGCCCGCCCTGTCCCCACCCCATCTAGGGCCCCCATCACTGGTACCTGCTAGAGCCTGGGGCGCGGGGGGGGGGTCCGCTTACCTGGGGAGCTGAAGAGTAGGGGTATCCAAACTGCGGGTAGGACATGGCGGGCGCAACCCGGGGCGGACGGGCGGGGCCAGCAGGATCCTGCGCGCTGGGGCCGGCGTCGCGCGGCCGCTGCTCCGGGGCTGCGGGCTTCTAGGCGCTGGGAGTGGGAAGCAGGAGAGCCGGTTAGTTCACCCCTGAGCTCCGCAAACTTTCCTAACCCGGTAACAAAGTGAGCCGCACTGGACGCAGCGATCCTTTTAACTTCGCATTCCCGAGGTCCGAGGGGGCTCTTGGACTGACCGGCCTCGCAGCGGCGACAGAAATACATATTTTGCAAAAAAGAAAAAAAAAAAAAAACCGAGTCGCGCGAACCCGTCAAGTCAGATGTGCGCGGCTTTAAGCGGCGGAGGCGCTGACGTCAGCCGCACCCAGCGCAGCCCGGCCCGGCGGCACACTCGCGGGTCTCTCCGCAGGCGGCTCGGGCCGGGCGGGGCGAGGACAGTCCCGGCCGCGCGGTGGGCCGAGGGGCCATTCCTTGGGGCGTTAGCAAATGGATTCCGTCCGAGTCAGTATCTCCCAGCGAGCGGCATTTCTCCTTAGTCACCCGAGAACGAGAGGCACTTTTAATTAGAAATTAATTAATGAGCAGCTGCTCCTTCCCGCCCCTCTGTAATCATTCGTCTCAATTACAAATGAGACCTATGAAGGGACACGCGAGCGGGTCTTCGCTGAAGAGGTAATCAACAGTTAAAATTAGCCCGGCGCAGCGCAGGCGGCCGGCACGGCCTCGCTCTTGAGCGCTCTGCTCCCAGAGGTCGGAAGGGGCCGGCAGGCGCCCCGCACCCGTCTCGCCACTATTCTTCAACCCGGAGTCTGCGACGCCTCCCGCCGGTGCCCACCCTACTCCGGAAAGGACTTTCAGAACCCTCTGCGGCCGCCAGAGAGCCCGCGAGTGCCTGTCCCTATGCGCGCACGTGTGTGGGGCTTTGGGGCCTTCCTTGGAGCCGGACACCCTGAGACTGGCGGCCCAAGGGCTGTAGGGCAGCCCCAGGCGCGCGCCCGTCGGCTGTGCCCCTCTGGGCAGCCGAGTGTCACGGAAGAACGCCGCTCCTTCTCCACCCCGGCAGTTTAAGTTCCCGCTCAGCCCACCGCCCCCGCCTCACTTCTGCGACTTTCCTTCCCCAACCCCTTTCGACAGCCGCCCTCCGCCCGCCTCCCCCTGCCCCTCGCGGCTCAGCCGGGGACTGCCCCGCGCGCTGGGAAGACCAGGTTCCTCGGCACAGACCCCAGCCCCTCCCGCTACGCTCGCCCTTCCCAGCGTCCCGCATTGCTGGCTGCGGGGGAGGGGGCGTTGGGTTCCTGGCGGAGACGCCCTCCCCTGTCGGTTTTGCCCAGCTTTCTGTCCCGGGCGCACGCAGCAATCCGGAGATGGGGCCGAGCGCCAACCCCAGGACTTCCCCAGCCAGTACCCTCCCTGGGACCTTGCCCAGGTTCAAAGCGGAGGCCAGTGAGCAAGCGGCCAGAGGGCGCCCGGGCCATCCCGAACGCGCTCCCCGCCTTCTGCGCCACCGCCCTCCGGGGACCGGGGCTCGGCCCGGTTGCTCTCGTCCCCCGGGCCGGCCTCCTGTGGCAGGTTGGGAAGGAAGCTGCGCCGGGCAGCGTTGTGCAGACTTGCTCAGAAAGATTCCTGGGTTCAGACCTGCGAATCGCCCCAGGGTCACCCTCTAATTAATGATGACGTCCTCGCCCTCTCCCCAGCTGCAAGCCTGCCTCCCAGAAACGAAATCTGCCGGCTCCTTTGACAGCTCGGTTGAAGGTGATTGATGACTATCTGGAGACCACAGTACACATCATATAATATCTGCTGCGTAATTGCTTTAATTTACAGATGAAAATACGAGTTCTCCGATCGCGTTGGACCGCAGCCGGCCACGTCCGAGCTGCTTGCAGAGGGAAACCATCGGAAATAATGAATAGCCGCTCCATGCAAATTATTCAGACAGTTTAGCGTCCGTAGCCGCGAGAAATATATAAAGAACACGCGTCAAATGACATTAATAATTGTTTCTGAATTCTGTATTGATTTCGCGGCAGGCCGTGTTTATTTCTTTCTCACCTGAATCGCTAATATCACCTTCCTGTAAATAATAAGAAACTAGCCACCGGGGCTTCTCGCTAGAAATGAATCTCCCAACCTCTCTCCTCCTGCTGCTCCCCTCCCCCACCCTCCCTCTTCCCCACCCCCACCCTCCCTCCTCCCCACTCCTTCCAGTTTTCTGGCTCTTCCTGAACATCCTCCTACTTCCCATTACTTATTGTTTACAAACAACTCGCTCTCTCCAGGTAATGAGGCCCGGCCAGGGGAGGGGTGCAAGCCCAGCGGGGTCCTGGGCTCGGACGGGGTGTAGAGGCGGAGGGCAGGCCTTCAGCAGCGGCTTGCCCTTTCCTATTCTATTCCCGGAAACCTGGCCGCGGCGACTGAGCGCTCAGCCGGCGGCAGAGGAGAGCAAGGCCCGGGTCCCAGCCACCTCCGCCCTGCACCTCGGGGCTCTGGTGGAGCGGCTCAGCCCACCCAGACCTGAGGGCGGTGTGTTTCTTTCCTTCCAGACCCAGGCGGGGCTCAAGTGGAGCAGAAGCCCTGGAATAGGCGGCCATTCATCTTCCGGGCAGAGGAGCTCACCCTCGGAGTCCGGGAGACGCAGTCTTCACTTCCCAGTGCGCCGGTCCGTGGGGGCCCTTGGGGAGGGATTTCGGGGGCTTCCTTTGACCACCGAGCCACCTTCTCCCGTTCTCCTTTGCCTTTCCAGCCTGTGTGCATAAATCGACGCTCCAATCCCCACCAGCAGGCGACCCTTTCTCCCTGAACCAGAAGCTTGGCCTCGGAATCGGCTTTCCCAGGCCGCTGCACACCATGCTCCACTTCCTGCCCGCCCCAAGCCCCAGCGCACGGGGGTCCAGGCTCAGTCACAGTCACCTTGCCTCGGAAAGCTCGAAGCTGCCCCGGAGGCCTCCTGACCCGCCCGGCCTCACCCAGGCCCCATTACTCATTCCAGGCCGCAGGGTCAATCTAGCCTATCTCCTGCAGGCGGCCACCCGGAGGGACGCCTCATTGAAACCCTGTGTCCTGGCTAAGCCCGCCTGTCCAAATGGGGATTCTCTGGGCCACCCATATCCCATGGATAATATTGGAGTGTTGTCCAAGTGCCTTTACCAAAAGGCCAAGCCTGCAGCTGAGGCTCTCAATGTCCCTGTCACCAGCGATAGGACTGTCAGCATCTCAGGTACGAGCGAGCTGAACGCGTTTGCATAGACCCGGGGTGCTGAACCTTCCTCCCTCTAGGGATCCCGGCTACTAAATACCTCGTGAGCAGGAGGGCCCTGGAGTACACAGCACCAGGTCAGCTCGGTGAGGTGAGGTGCTCCTGCAGGCCTGGAGAACTCCGAATCGGCGGAGGACCAGGGCCAGAGCAGGCCGCAGGGGAGGCAGGAGATGGTGAGCCCCAAACGCAAAGCGCAGGCCGGCCACCTATTTTGAGGGGGTTGCTGCTGGCCGTCGGAACCATGGGAGGCCTCTGGGGAGACAGGCCGGGCCTGACTATTCTTTGGCCAGCTTAGCCCAGGTGCTGCAAGAGTTGCCCCGGGGGCCACCCATTCCCCGCACGAAGAGCTGGTCGGAGCTCCTTCCAGCCCAGATAAGTTGACCCCAGCCAAAGGCGAAGCCGAGAGCCCAGGGCAACAGGCAGGGGGCCTTTCTTTCGGAGGCCTGGGGCCAGAGCCCTTGGGGGCGCCTGTGCCGGCTCACTGCTGGGGACACCCGGGTAGGGTGTGGGGCTCAGAGGCCCCACGGTCGCTGACGCCGCATTAGCGATCCTCGAGGTTGGCAGGTCACTTCTTCATAGTCCACTTCTCCCCCCCTCCAGAACCCCTCGAAGCGGGTGGTAGGAGTAGCAGCCACAGGGACAAGCTTTGAATCTCTGGGTCCCCAACCCTCTCCCGCCGCTGGCTCCCTGGGCACTGCCCGAGGCAGGACGGAGCGCAGTCAGGGCGCCTAGGCCTCAGGCCTTGCCACTCCCGGCCCCCCACTCCGCGCCCCACGCCAGCCCGCGCACCCTGCTTCCCGAACTTGCAGAAAACGCAGCGGCCTCTGGAGAGCCCCCGGCGAGTGGCAAACTTTGTCCCCTCCGGCGCAAGAGCGATCCTCGCAAAGTTTGTGCGGCGGAGCCGACTCCCTACCTGAGCTGGGGAAGCTCCCGCCCGCGCCGTGTGGCTGCCGGGGCCGCGGGGATCAGCGCGCAGCCCAGGACGCACCGGGGAGTCGCCGCTGCCGCCGCCGCCCGCGCCCCTCGGCTGCCGCACGGAGCCTCCGCCTCCTCGGAATGGGGGAGGGGTCTTGGAACCCCGGGGCGGGGGCGGGCGCGGGGCCCTCACCTACCTGCGGTGGCGCTGGGCCACTCCCGGCCGCCCGCGAGGGTTCCGCGCGGCAGCTCGGCGCGCGCGCTCCAGCGGGGAGCAGGCGACAACTAATGGAGACATTTCCAGGCGGAGCACCTGGCGAGCGGAGCGCGCCGGCGTCCCCAGGCGCCGCGGTCGTCAGCCGAGCCCGCACCGGCGTGACGTGGGCGAGCGAGCGCGCTGCTCCCACCCGGCCTCCCATTAACGCTTTCTCCCGCGGGCGCCGCGCTCCTGCCAACTTTCCCTGCGCACGGGATGCAGGCGCTGGGGTGAGGGCGCCTGGTTGCCGGTAGGGACGTTGGGCGCTGTCTGGGCGGTGACGCAGGGCTCCGGGAGGACACTCAGCCCTGACCCAACAGCAGGAAGGCGCGCGGGCCGGATTTGGCCAAACGCTAAGCTCGCCGCGGCCGCGGGCTCTCGGCCCACGGGGCCCCTCTCCGCGTTGGGGCTGCCCCACCCAGGGACGCCTGCGCCCGGCGCGAGGAGCCGCGCCCGGAAAGAGCCAAGCTCGAGGTCGGCAGGGCTTCCCGAGTCCCTCCTAAGTGTCGGTACTTTTCCCCTCCCCCAGCACCCCCAGGGTCTGTGGAGGGCGAGGCTGTTTCTCCGGCCTGAGCCACCCTCGGAATTGGCTGCGGGGCTCTCAGGCCTGGCCTTTCCTCCCCTGCCCCTCCCCCAAGTCCTTCCGTGCTAAGCGGCCCAGTTCTGGGTTTTCTCCTGGTGCCCACACTAGTCCCTACCCGGCCCACTCTCAGGACAGCAGGCGGTGGCAGGGCCAAAGCCTAGCTGCGGGCACCAGGGCCCGGGCAAGTCGGGGTGAGTGGACCACAGTGCCAGCCGCCTGGGGGCCAGTGAGTCTGTGACCTGCCTGGACTGCGAGTATTTCCTGGCGGGGAGCTTGGTCTCAACCGCCAGGGTCGTGGGAGGGCGTGGGGTTGGACCCCTGGTCTGGGGTTAGGCTGGGGCGGAGGGCCTTCCGCTTCAGCAGCCTGAGGCTGAGACCCATGCAGGGGAGGTGGGTCTGCCTACAGACCCTGCCCCTCCCTCAGGCAGCTGGGAGCCCCCCACCCTGCTCTCCGCAGCCAGGCACAGGTCTGTCATCCACAGAGCTGCTGCTTGCAGAGGTCAAGTCAGGCCCGGAAGGGAGGCTGGAGCAGCAGGTGACCATCTGCTCAGATCACAGCCGGAAGGGACTTGAGGATGGCAGGGCCCAGGGCTCCTGGGGTGTGGAGGAGCTAAGGCGTGAGAGGCCACTTGCCAGCTATTGGCCGGGCTGCGGCTGCAGGAACTTCCTGGTTGCCATGCTGCAAGACAGCCTCACTCCTACCTGGAGGGTGTCCTTCCGGGCCGGGCTATGGGGCATTTGGGTGAGTCCCCACATATATTTACTTTCTTTTTTTATTCTACCTTCCTCTCCCTCATTTTCCTTCAAGAACCATGAACTCGTTTCTTGTCACTGTGGTCATGCAGTGACGTTTGAGCTTCGTTGACTTGGACAGTCTCTGAAGAAGTTACTTGCATCGTTTTCCTGTTGTCTTCAGCTCTCTGCAGCTGTGGGGAAGGTAGCAGGTGGCTGCCTGCCTCCCACAGCACAGGGACCGTCTTCGTCTGCAGGCCTTGTTCATCGTCTTTTCCTCCACCCCCGTGGCTTCCACGCGGAAAGAAGAGGGCCCAGAGTGTCCAACCCACGTGCTGCATCCGGAACCCCAGGGGTTCCCCTGGGAAGGACGGGCTTTGGTCTCTGGTCTGCTCTGGCGGGAGGAAGGTGGAGTGGACCACGAGGCGTGGCGCAGACCGTGCGTGTGAGTCACCAGTGCCGCCCTGGGCAGACTCTGGGGCACAGGGAAGGGGGCTCTGGTTCTAGGTCTTTCCCCTCCAGCTTGCTTGAAAGTGTGGAGGGCAGCTGGGCGGAAGCAGGAGTGCCCTCCCTGTCAGATGGAAGTGTCCTCCTTGGGAGGTGGGGAGGGCGTCTTTGATGCCAGCCAGAGGGAGTTGAGGCCCAGCTGGCTGCACCCAGTACGGGAGAGGAGGCCCCTCCTGATGTGGACTCAGCTTCCTGCTACGGCGCAGGGTCAGCCAGGAGTGTGCCTTCCCAGCCACACTTCACCCCATGAACTCCTTCCACAGGCGCTGCGGCCTCTTCAACAGCAGCAGCAGTGAGGCCCTGAGGCCCACAGATGCGGAGCCCAGGGGCACTGCTGGCCAGAAAGGCTCCACTTCTAGGATCTTCATAGCTCCGACAAAGTCAGGTGTCCTCTGAAACAACCCCGTCCCCACTCCCGGCGAGACTGCATGTATGACTTTATCCCCTTCCCCGCAGGGCAGGGCCAGCGGTGTCTCTCCCCACCAGGATGCTCCATCCTCAGCAGCCGCCCTCTGCCCCTCAACCCTTGCCCTTGTGGGCAGTGGAGCTGACCCCGACCCTCCTGCTGTGTTTCCAGGCCCTCTGAGGAAAGGACGAGGATCCCCAGGTCTTGGCCAGGAGGCCTGGCAGGGAACATCCGTCCGGGGCCCCTACGGGGGCAGCCAATCCACACCGTCTGTGTGTAGCCCGGGCCACCCTGCAGGGGTGCGCCCTCCGGGTCGGCTGTGCCTGGCTTCTGCTCCATGCCCCGCTCCCCCCATGAATCCTCTTTCAATCCCTCCTTTGTTCATCCTGCTGGCAGGGCCCCCAGAGTGCAATCTGACATAGAAGTCTCCGCGCCCCTGGGGCTTGGCCATGCTGCCTCCTCCGCCTCCTCACCTGGATGCTGCTGTAACATGCACAGGCATCTGGGGTGGAACGCACTGGGCCGGATTGTCCTGAGGCCCAGTCTTAATGTGGCCCCCATTGCCTGCTGCCACCCAGGGCCCCACAACCTTGCTCTCCCCACCCTTTCCAGGGAGCCAGGAGGGGAAGGAGGCCCTTCTCCAGGCCGAGGAGGAGGCCTGCGAAACCAGCCTGAAGGAAGGATGGTCGCTGAGGCAGCCCTGGGTACTGGTTCCCAGAGATGCTCTTGTCCTTGGAAGGCTGGTCCTGACGTAGCAGAGGGCAATGTTTGTCGGGCGCCGCTCCCTAGGGGTGTGGCGTGGACAAGAGTGTCTTTCATCTCCGGAAGTTCCCTGAGCTCCTGGCTGCTTCAGGGGGTCCCCTGGCTTGGACCCCAGCCAGGACTGCAGGGGCAGCCTCCCTTGGACAGCGCTAGGCCAGACATAAGGGTTTCTTTCCCAAGCAGAGTGGCATTTGCGTGGAGACTGCACAGTGTGGCCAAGGCTCAGTGGTGCACGTGGCTGCTGCAGTGAGCACCCGTGGCTAGTGGGGGCGTGGAAGCTTGAGCCTCTCACTCTCTTCCTGCTGTCCTGTCCTTGTGAGGCTGGAATGAGGCTGAGGGAGCAACAGTTGGGAAGTTATTTATTTCTCCTCTTTTCAGGGTGAAGAAACTATATCCATAATACCGAAATGCATCAGCAAATTTTAAGAAGGTTTCATTATTAAAAGTGAAAGGCTCTTAGTTCCAGCAATGTCTGTAGTCTGTATACTTAAATTTGCAATGTTTACCTGGCACAACCTCAAATCATGAGAGCCCCGGCTGGAAGAGACATCCACATGAGATTACGTTATTTTAAGTTGTAGAAAAAGGCAGCACGTATGACTGCCAAGGGACTTGAATATTATTTTAGATTATTTGATGTAGCATTAAGAAAATCTTCAGTCGGTAGAGAAGAAATGTAAAAGTGTATCTTAAATGCAATGGCTATTTGCATATTGCTGTATGTGGGAGGAACCTCAAAACCCCTGACCTACAAATACAGGAGAGGCGCAGAAACACGGGGCCTCACGGGGCTTCCTGCCGGAGTTGGCAGGGAGGATGCTTTCCCCACAGCAGGAACGAGGAGCAGCATCGCGGGGACTGCGCTCTAGTACCTGGCTGCAGCAGGCACTTTAATGAATAGAAGGTGGTACAGGGGAGAAGAGGCAGAACCCTCCCGAGTGACCTGTCAGCCCCAGGAACTCAAGCCTGGGTGCTGCCCTCAGGCCGAGTCCTCTGCTGCCAGTTCTGTCCCACTACGGCAAGGCACTGGGACCTTTTCCCCATACTCCGCAGCAAGGCTTCCGGACGGCCTGTGAAACCCATTTCCTCTGCCATGGGGAAACGGACAGAAGTGGGAACACGGGTGCACCACGTTTTGCCGTTTGCGGCGAGGAGCTGGCCCGTGTCTGCACGTGGCCGTCCGGTGAGCATGGGGGCTCCCTGGAAGGGCTCATTCAGGACCATGAGCCAGCCACCCAAAGACGATCCTAAAAATTAACGTGCACTCCCTGGCCTCACAGACGTCTGGGAAGCGTTCCAATCCTGAGTTAAAGCTCGGTGCTGGTGGCAGCAGCGCGCCTGCAGTGACCAGTGTAATGCACCCGGCTTTTAATTACCGTGGCAGTAAATCATGCACGAGTGTCCTCCGGGAGTTAGCTGATTTTTGTACAAAAAAATTTTCAGAAATTCAATTAATTGAAGGCCCCAGATAAAAGGAACACATTGTTAATGGCTATAAAATAACCCTGAGGGAGGGTATGGAGGCAGAGCCTGACTTCAAAGTGTGGCAGAAATACTTGCTGTCTTACTTTAAAAGTATTCAGATCAATGAATCAGTTAAAATTACTTATATGCTTAGCAACCTTTTCGTTGACTGTTTGAAAATGACAGAAAGAGAAGCTCTTATCGTCCACGACACAAAAGCTCTGGAGAAGAATGCCGTTTTGCCACTTCGTCAGGACCCGGAGGCTCAGGGCTTTGTGGAGTGGGTGCGGCTCTTCCCTTTCCTGCCAGGAGGTCCGGGAGGGTCCTGGGACCGTCACAAGGCATCACGGCTGGGGGCTTCAGCAATAGAGCCTCACGGTCTCCCAGGCCTGGTGGCCAAAGCTCTGAGATCCAGCTGTGAGCAGGGCCGGTCCCTCCGAGTCTAAGGCTGGGACGGAGCCTGGACTCGAGCCTCTCTCCTGCCTCGGTGGCTGCTGGCGGACTGTGTGGGTGCATCGCCTGAGCCCTGCCTGCATCGTCCCCGGGAGTTCTCCCTGTGCGCAGCTCTGTGTCCACACTTCCCCTTTGCATAAGGACCCCATCATCTCAGATTGAGACCCATCCTTCGGCAGTAGAAACCCGTCCTAACTGATGCCCTCTGCAGTCACGTTGTTTCCAAATAAGGTCTCATTCTGATGAAACGGAGGTTAGGACTTCAACAGGTAATTTAGGGGGGACACAATTCAACTCAGAACAGAGGGGTCCCCTGTGATGCCACCCCTGGGGCTGAGTTCATTTTTTTTTGGCTTGAACTTCCCTCATCCCTAACTTCCCGAGGGCTCCCAGGCTGGTGGCGAGACCCTCATGGCCCTGTGGGTGGTGAGACCCGCCATGCGTTCCCTCTTCTTCCTTTCTGTTTTATCACTGTCCATCACGCTGCACGGTGGATGATTTCTTGGCTGTTCTTGCCTACCCTCCTCTGCTAGAATGAACGCTCCCTGAGGGTTGTGTGTTGAACTTTCCTGGGTCAGTGCCCTGCACTGCTTCATGGATGCCCAGTGACCGTGGAATATAGGAGAAAGTGTAGGTGGCACCTCCAGGAAACGAGAGCAAGCAAGAAAGAGGTGGCCGTGCCTCCCCAGGGCAGAGACTCTCCGGAGTTGTGGATGGGGAGCCTGAGACTTCATTCAGCAGGTGTCTGTGGAGTGCATGCATGTCCTGGGCACTCTCAGAGCCTCTTGGACACATCCATGAAGGGACAGGTAGCAGCAGCTCATGGGCTCTCAAGAGAGACAGACAAGAGCATCAGCACGACGAGGCCTGAGCAGCTCAGCGGCTGGATGGGCGAGCGGTGCCTGGCACCAGTTGTCTGTGGCTGCACAGCAACCCAGCCTCACCACACACGGCGTCGGCACACACACCTACGGCCCTGTGATGTCCTGGGCCCTGCTCTCCATCTAGTCTGTTTTCTAGATTCTGTCCATCCCAGCCACGCTGGTGGGACTTTTGCTGAAATTACTATCTGGAGAGGTTTGTGCAGCTTCCTGGGTTTTGCTGGGGTTCAGTCTGCTAGATGAAAGCTGTACCCATTCTAAGATGAACCTCCCTTCTGTCCTAGGCTCCTGCCGAGGCGGCCGAGAAACAACAGACCCTTCATGTGACCAAATTCTCTGACCCTGGATGTTTCTGGGGTCTTCTTAGCTGCACCTCGCCTTTTTCGCCAGATCACGTTTTCTGACAATGCTTTAAACTCATCTCTGATGCCACCTGGGGGCACTGAACATGCCCTGCTGCCAGTCCTGGCTCTGTCTTGCCCTCTCCTCTGGCATCTCACCAGAAGTGGCAGGAGGAACCAGGTGATGCCTTTAACATCTCAGAGTCACCTGTGATGCTGCTTCCCACGGCTTGCAGAAGATGCCACAGCTGAGCTTTCTGCTGCCCCGTGAGGGTCCCATGCTCCCCATTCCTGCACGTCCTCTCTGCAGCATCCTCATGTCTGCGTTTTTGCCCACATTCTGCTCAAGGTTGTTCTGGCTTTCTCTATCCTGGTCCTCAACCTTTTCTGGCTCCTGCCTGCTGCAAGCTCCCAAAGCCGCTCCCGTAGCTCTGGCAATGGTGACAGCAGCAGACTGCTTCTGGGTGGTGCACTGGTGGTCTGTCGCTGCATGACAGTATTACAAGAAGCCTGGCTTAGAAAAGCACACATTTCACTTCTGATTTTTGGGGGTCAGGGATGCAGGCATGGCTTTGCTCAATCCTCCCCTCTGGCCTCTAAGGCCGTAATCGCCACATTAGCCAGAGCTGGGCTCTCAGCTGGGAGTTTGACTGGGGAAGGGCTCCTGATATGGTTTGGCTGCATGTCTCCACTTGGATCTCATCTTGAATTGTACTCCGATAATTCCCATATGTTGTGGGAGGGAGCCGGTGGTGGGAGATAATTGACTCATGGGGGCGGTTCCCCCATACTGTTCTTGTGGTAGTGAATAAGTCTCAGGAGACCTCATGGTTTTGCTTGGCTCTCATTCTCTCTCTTGCTGCTCCCTGTGAGATGTGCCTTTCACCTTCCACCATAATTATGAGGCCTCCCCAGCCACGTGGAACTGTAAGTCCAATAAACCTTTCTTTTATAAATTACTCAGTCTTGAGTATGTCTTTATCAGCAGCATGAAAATGGACTAATACAGTAAATTGGTACCAGTAGAGTGGGGTGCTGCTGAAAAGACACCCAAAAATGTGGTGGTGACTTTGGAACTGGGTAACAGGCAGAGGCTGGAACAGTTTGGAGGGCTCAGAAGAAGAGAGGAAAAATGGGAAAGTTTGGAACTTCCCAGAGACATATTGAATGGCTTTGGCCAAAAACCTGATAGCAATATGGACAACAGGGTCCAGGCTGAGGTGGTCTCAGGTGGAGATGAGGAACTTGTTGGGAACTGGAGTAAAGGTGACTCTTGTTATGTTTTAGCAAAGAGACCGACAGATTTTGCCCCTGCCCTAGAGACTTGTGGAACTTTGAACCTGAGAGAGATGATTTAGGGTATCTGGCAGAAGAAATTTCTAAGCAGCAAAGCATTCAAGAGGTGACCTGGGTGCTGTTAAAGGCATTCAGTTTTATGAGGGAATAGAGCACAGCAGTTTGGAAAATTTGCAGCCTGACTCTCAATAGAAAAGAAAAACTAATTTTCTGAGGAGAAATTCAAGCAGCTGCAGAAATTTGCATAAGTCGGAAGCAAATGTTAATCCCCAAGACAATGGGAAAAATGTCTCCAGGGCATGTCAGAGGTCTTCATGGAAGCCCCTCCCATCACAGGCCTGGAGGCCTAGGAGAAAACGGTTCTGTGGGTCGGAACCAGGGTCCTGTGCTGTGTGCAGCCTAGGAACTTGGTGCCCTGTGTTCCAGTGGCTCCAGCATGGCTGAAAGCGGACAATGTAGGGCTTGGACTGTGGCTTCGGAGGGTACAGGCTCCAAGCCTTGGGAGCGTCCACGTGGTGTTGAGCCTGCAGGTGCACGGAAGTCAAGAACTGGTGTTTGGGAACTTCTAGATTTTAGAAGACATATGGAAATGCCTGGATGCCCAGGCAGAAGTTTGCTGCAGGGCCCGGCTCCTCATGCAGAACCTCTGCTCGGGCAGTGAAGAAGGGAAATGTGAGGACAGAGCCCCCACACAGAGTCCCTACTGTGGCACTGCGTAGTGGACCTGTGAGAAGAAAGCTACTGTCCTCCAGGTCCCAGAATGATAGATCTGACAGCTTGCACCGTGTGCCTGGAAAAGCCGCAAACACTCAACAGCAGCCCATGAAAGCAGTAGGGAGGGAGGCTGCTTTGTTACTTATGCAAATTTCTGCACTCTGTACTGTGCAAAGCCACAGGGGCAGAGCTGTCTAAGACCACGGGAACCCACCTCCTGCGTCAGCGCGACCTGGATGTGAGACACAGGGTAAAGGAGATCATTTTGGAACCTAAAGATTTGACTACCCTGCTGACTTTTGGACTCACGTGGGGCC